ATATATATATATATAAGTGAACATAGAAGTCCACACATATAGGGAGAGCTAGATGCAATCGTCAGGCCATATATATATATATATATATATATATATATATATATATATATATATATATATAAAAAAAAGAACATAGAAGTCAACACTTAGAGGGGAGGGTTTGTTTCATGCTGGATACAATCGTTAGGCCACACACACACACACACACACATATATATATATATATATGTGTGTGTGTGTGTGTGTGTGTGCAAAGTTTGTCGTTGCTTGAAATCTTCCATGTAAACAAAAAAAGTATTTTTGTTTTGTCCGTGTATTGTTTAATATATTGTAATGTAATTGTCATCTTTGATAATGGCTTATGTAAGCCGAAAGCTCAGATAGGATTAAAAAAAATATGTATCAATATGGTGGTTTTCTTTTGTCTTTTTAATGATAATGTTATTAAGCTTATCAGACGATATGAAGAATTTACATAAAATAAATAGATAAAACTTGTCGATATTATTTAATGAAACACGCATCAATATATATATATATATATATATATATATATATATATATATATATATATATATTTATTCAGGCACTGCGTGAGTTTCCAACTCGCTACTTTATTAAATAGGAACAAAAAGGTGCTTCTTACATTTATTCTACAGTAGCCACTAGACTCGATCTATATTTACTCTACTTTGCATAATTTGACGAAAAAATGATAATTAAAAAACGAAAATGAAAGAATAGCCAGAATAGTGGCCATACTGCTAGGATCGAACTCACCACAATAATGTATTGTTTTACGATACCTACTAGCTGACCATATAGATATCGACGAGGCGTGAGTTTTAGCCGCAGGAATTCTGATTGGCCGCCAGCCAAGCCTTGTTGACACAATCCTTCTGCACACAAACTCTCAGCACACAAACCTTTACACCAGGTCAGGTTGATTTCCCACTTTTTATTTCAGAAAATAAAATTGCACTCAACAGGATAGCGGGTGTTTGATGTGATAAGAATTGACACGAAAAGTTCAATTCATATCTTTTACCAATTTTTGAGCATTTAATTTTAAATATCGTCAGAAAAATATACAGAAATAATTTATTTCCTCGGGTTTTGGCTTGCAAACTAACTTCAGAATTTTACCATTTCAAGAAGAAATCCAAATAAATTTGATATCTTTTGTGTTAGATACATTGAATGGAAAATATATTCAAACCAGAATTCTAATTATGAATCTTTACAAGGAAAATATGCATTTTTCCTTTACTGGAAGTAAAAACTGTAAAAAAATTGTAAAAGATTATAAAAAAAAGCTACTCAATGAATAAGATTTGTTAGATTATAATTAATAAAAACGAAAAATAGTTAAAACTGTATATAACACCATAATACTGCTAAGCACAAAATGTTTAAAATTTACATTCTTTATTGAAAATCATACTAAAACTAATGCGCTGTCTAACATATTACATCATTATATAGTTAAATGGTACAGTATAATTTCACTTTGAAGTAAATGAAGGTCTTAATTGATAACACAATGACTTAGTAACATGCGCTTGTGCCGTGCATTGTCAATAGACAATTTGAAAAGCTTCAGCAAATTATATATTTTATAAAGCTATGTTATAAAGCTGATCCCCGGAATGAAATTCCAAAGCTAAGATTTTGAATCTAAACTTAATCTTTAAACTAATTTTCTCAAAAAACGGTCACGATCTGGAAAAAAAAAATTTGTGACATTATTTATCTTCTCAAACCCCAACTTTTAAATTGAGTGCAATACCACGGTTCCAAAAACGAACCGCCCTACTCTACGCTGCCTTTAATAAACTGCGTTATCTAACACTAAAAAAATAAAAATACGTTTACATAAAAGCATCCGATTCGAAGAAGAAATTCCTCACCTATATTTTCGCAGGATGCCAGATTGTCGCTTTCTTTTCTGGCAAATCGATATCTACAGGGATCCCGCAGAGATGAGCTTTATTTCCTTATGTTCGCTATAATTTCCTCTAGGTTTGCACAGGTTTCTAATGCAGACGATAATTAGATTGCAATTCGAACTATGCAGTCGACGAGATAGAAATAAAATATTCTACTTCCGTTAAACACGAAGCGAAATACGGAAATGACTCAATACTTGTTATGCAAAGACTAACAGATCAAGAAATCCAGGGCAAATTAAGAAAAAAAAAGAAGATAACAAATGATTATTTCTTGTGTATGTTTGGTTTAGTGCGTATCCATGATTCTTCCTTAACGAAATCAATGAGAAGCAATTACTGTTTAAAACGCACACCAGAGTCAATAAATCCAGGTACAAATAGAAATATTCAAGCAGGTATATTTTAGCCTATGTTGCGTATGTTAAATCATTGCTTAGATAAGGACCGCTTCTTTGTGTTTAAGATACACATAGAAATATTCTAGAAGGTATATTTTAGTCTGTGGTGGATGCGTAAGTTAAGCCATGGCTTAGATAAGGATCGCTTCT